AGAGAGAGAGAGAGGGGTGAAGATTTATATATAAAGATAGAGGGAGAGATCGGGGAGAAAGAGATGGGTATGGAGATAGTGAGATTTATGTACAGAAAAAAGGAGGAGAGAGGAGAAAGAGAGAGGGGAGAAAAACAGATTTTATTTGTATATATATATATATATATATATATATATATATATAGAGAGAGAGAGAGAGAGAGAGAGAGAGAAGAAGAAGGGAGAAGGGGGTAGAGAGAGATGTCTCTGACATTAAACCAGCATGACAATTGCTGACTTTTTTTTACGTAATTTGTTATCGTCCGTCATGAGACCAGCAATGACTTTTGAAATCAGCAAGTGACTTACGTACTTTATTCACAAATATAACAAACAAAATGACTGAGTCATTACTTTGTGGCCTTCATTAGAGTCAGGGGTTTAGTAAACATTTCCTTAGGTCAGATCAACTTCTGCAGTCATTTCTGCACTCCTCACATATAAAAATATCCTTTCTCTGACATTGACCACACTTCCTCTATACCAAATTTTAACTAGTACAGATAAATAGATCACGAGAGAGAAATCCAAAAGAGAGAGAAAGAGAGAGAGAGAGAGAGAGAGAGAGAGAGACATAGATATGCGTGTGTGTGTCTTTCTATATATCCTATATATGGTATGTTTTATTATACAAGTCAATGTTTACAAAATAAAAAATTTGAATATAGACTTATGTTTTAGATATACCATGTAAATTTCAGATCTATATCTATTTTTTTCAGAAATACTTATAATAGGTTTTTTATAAGAGGTCAGTCAGTTATGTGCCATGCTTAGGTGATCATGTATCTTTTGATACATGACTGACAAGGCAGATTTTTTTCCCACGGTAGGTTGCCATTTCTTTCTGCGGTAGATCATTTGCCATCCAAAGCTATAGAACCTGGTCTATCCTGCTATTTATCTATAGCTGGGGGAGAAAAAGAGGATTCATACCTTTACCAAGGGTATTAGGACGTAAGTGAATGTAATGGATTTGACTGGAATTTGAACTCGGCTCTCCAATTCCTCAATCCAAGCTGCTATCCATTACTCCACCATGCCTCCTTGGTGTGTGATTTCATGCAACAGAAGAGTTGTTCATCATATTGTAAATAAATATCTATAACACGATAGGCAATGGTATCTATTTTTGAATTTCAGCATCAAGATCTCAGCAATTTAGAGATGAGCTGACTAGATGTAACTGTAAATTCTATGCTAAGAGTTTCTTTCCTTGCACTTCTCGCTTGTGAAACTCCCTTCTGGCTCCATGTTTTCCAGTCAGCTTTAATCTCCAAAAATTTGAATGTAATGCCAATCGCTATCTGCTGTACGTCTGATTACTCTTTCCTCTTCCTGCTTCTTATTAATGTTTCTGTTCCTAATTCTTCCACACTCAGTAACCCATTGTGTCTTAGTGGCTTTATAGCCTTACTTGTTTTGAAATCAATTAAAAAAATGAGAAAGAGAGTAAAAGAAAGAAAGAAAGAAAGAAAGAGAGAGAAAGTGAGAGAGGGTGAAAGAGAGATATATATCACCTAAGCATGGCACATAACTGACTGACCTACTATAAAAGACCTATAAATTGGGTAAAGAAGTACATGATTTTTCAGCAGTAAATTTTAGTGATGATTGTAGACCTACATTGGATGGCTGTCATGGCAGGGATGGTTGAGGTTGTATCCTTCATGTAAATAGTCAACATAGAATATGATAGCAAGGAAGTGGAATAATGATTTTTGTTAGTATTGTAGTCTGTAAAATTATGCATCACTTTAAAGATGGTGATGGTATCAAGATAAATTTAGAGAATTATCGTAAGTAGTAGGAGTAGATAGGTCCATACTCACTTCCTACCTTTTGAACAGGAGTAGATGCTTATCCCTTGTTTCCTTTTTAGGTTTGAGTTTCCAGTTCCTTCTCCTAAAGTCTTCTCATTTTCTTTCATCCCCAGTAATCCCTTTACGTTTTAGTGGCATTATCACCTTGCTTGGGCTGAAATGATTAAAAAAAATAAAAAAAAGGGATACTTGCCAGAACAAAGACGCTTTAAGCCAACCCATTTTGTCCAATTCATCCTTTAAACAAAAGGAAAAGATACAAAATTTTAAAAGCATTGACTAAAGCTATGAAAATATCCAAACTATCTATCAGAATGTCATTCCCCACCCACTTTCCAAGATTGTCAAAAGGTTCATTTCAAATAATATGCATATATTATTGCATATTTTCATTCCTTTCCCTATCAGTATGTATACATTTGCATGGATTATTTTTGTAGTGGCAAAAAACACTAGACTTAGCAGAAACAAAAACTAGTTTGACCTCTCAGTTGCATGGACCGATGCAAATTGAGTTTTTTCCACCTTGGAGTGTTTGAAAGTTAACATTTTGAGTCTACTAATTTGTGGCCACAATTCCCCACTGAAACCCTGAAATTGCCCTATTAGGTGGGGATTCACCCACTGGTTGAGAACCCCTGCTTTAAGCTAAGGTGCGTATTCATGCAAGAAAATACTTCTCATTCTGAGAAAAGTGTCTATTACTCACCTATCCAATTTTCAAAGACCAAATTAAGGAAATGGATCCTAATCTTTCCGGGTATTAATCTAGTAGAAATTCAATAGAAAACTTGTGGCCCATTGAGATCTATATAAGAATGGTAAACAAAGTACAAGCAAAGATCTATGAGAAGCAATAGAATTGCACCAATTAATGTTAAAATCCTTGAAAATAGTTAATGAATTAGTTGAAAGCACAATCATTTGGACAATATCTATGCCTGCTAAATCCTAAAAACAATTATCTTTTTTACACACCTGAAAAATGCAATAAAAATCTTAACAGAAGAATCATTTTAGTCATTTTTAATGAAACATGTATTAGAGAGAGATTACTACCCTAATATGGTAATTGTAATAGTAATAGTAATATTAGCTGTTTCCTTATAAGGAAACATTTGATTATTTTAGATTTATAAAATCTTTCTCTTAAAACAATTTTTTCTGGAAAATAGATTTCTCAACTCCAGTAGCTTTTATCACACTTCCCAGTATTGATAAGATGTTTCTTTTCTAACCTTTTATTTGAGTAGTTTTAACTGCAATTTAAGGGCATATTCTTTATTTGATGTGATTAATATTCATCACTTCATTAAGTGCATTAGACAAGAAAAGAAATGATTTTGTAAAATAAATATTTGCTTTGCAAAATAATTGTTTTTTTCCTCATTAGTTTGTGAATTCATGAATTTATTTATGTACCTACAATGTGTATATATATATATATATATATATATATATATGTATGTATATATATATATATATATATATATATATATGCACATTTTAAAAATAATGATAAAATGAGGCAAAAATAACAACACCAGAGACAAAACATGCTTGAAAATTGCTATAGAAGTGTCTGAAAGTACTTGGGGCAATAAAAAGTTATGGACAATTTCTTCAACTCCTACAAAACGGAAAAATATTAGGATACTGGAAAAACTTAATAAAAAATCAATTCAATCTTTCTTGTCAGCTATACTCAATGAAAGGAAATACATTAATATATATATATATATATATATATATATATATATATATATATATATATATATATATATATAGTACAGGTAATTGATCAGTTGGTATATATATATAATCCAGGTGGATCCTAGTAATACTAATTATTAAAACTGATCCACAGAGAGCTCAATGTTTTATTTTAACAGAGCATGTGAATTTTACAGCAAAGAAACAAAAATTACCTCAACATAGAGGTAATTCTATATTTCTGTATTTGTATATGGACAAATTAATATATATCTATGTCTCATGTGTGTGAATTTATCAATCTATCATAATAATATATGCACACTTAGTTTTATGGTTGCATACTGCTGGAAAAGGTGTGGCAGATTTATGAATATTTTCCTATGCATATTCTCCTCAGAATATATTATATACTTCAGCTGTTGCTTCGTACCTGTTAAGAGGTAGAGGACTGGCACCAAGATTTGATTCATTAACATACCTGTTTCTGGTTTTGTTTATAAAAGCAGTATTAGTTTTACGTTAATTATAAAATCAATTTATTTACAGACTTGCTTTTGTAAATGTATTTGTGGCTCATATTGAAAAAGGAATTTATGCTTTGTCAATGTCGTTCTTGAAAGAAAAAAAAATTAAGGGAATTCTGTACTTTTTCAAATTAATTCAAATATTTGCATTAAAATTTCTATATTTTTAAAAGTTAGAATCACCTAATTATCTTTGTAAAAGAATGGCTATAATTCTTGTTGATATTCTATATCAACGATATAGAATACAGATGCAGAATATTGGTAGAGACATTGAAATGGAAAGTGCTAATGAGGTACCAGGCCAAGAGAAAAAATTATTTAAAATAAAAACAAAGTTAAGGTAAAATTAAAACCTTTAATGTGAATCATGTTCCGTCTTAATAATCAGAGCCTGATTTAGAGGAAGAGAGGCCCGAGGCTATTCCACTTGTGAGGCCTCTGCATGTCCCCCATTTTCACGAGTAGAGGAAAATGGAAGATTGTTAAATTAAACAATTTGAGTAAAGCCAAGGATGATGACGGGTGTTTGAAATTAATGAAGGGTTATTCAGAGTCTACAATGCCTTATGACAGCATGTGTAAGAAAGGCCTATGACAGTGTCAAAAATATTATACACCTTAGCTGGAGGGTCCCCAAGATTTTGAGGCCCTAGGCTTAAGCCTGCTATGCCTATATGCAGATCTGCCACTGTTGATAATATTATAAGGATATGCAGGATAGATAATGGCTGACTGTTGACTTGAAAAGTTTAAAATTGTAGTGATCAGGGAAGTATCATCTTGGGAATCCATTACATATATTTTACAATCAAATCCACTCATGAGTCGATGTAATCTCTGCAAAATTCAGAGTTGGGACAGATAAGTAAACATTTAATTTTATTTGTTGCAAATAATGCTCTCTCTCTCTTTCTCTCTCTCTCTCTTTCACTCTCTCTTTCACCCTCTCTCATTTTCTTTCTTTCTTTCTTTTACTCTCTTTTTCTATCTCTTTCTCTCTCACACTCTCTATCTTTCTCTCTTTCATTCTATTACTCTCTTTTCTCTCTTTCTCTCACTCACTCTCTCTTTTGCACTTTTCTCTCTCTTTCTCTCACCTCATTTAATTTTATTTGTTGCAAATAATGCTCTCTCTCTCTCGCTTTCTCTCTCTTTCTCTCTTTCTCTTTTTCTTTCACTCGCTTTCTCTTTGTCTTTCTCTATCTTTCTCTCACTCTCTTTCTTTCTCTCTCACTCTCTCTTTTCTCTCTCTCTCTTTCTCTCTCTCTCTTTCTCTCTCTATTTTTCACACACACTCTCTCTCTCTCTCTCTCTTGATATTGAGCACTATACCTACAAAGATACTTATCTTAAAAATGTTAATAACCTGGTTGAGCAGTTTTTGGTGGAAAAAAATTGTTTGATTTTTAATTTTTATGATTTCGCTGTTGTAATATGTATTTGTGTAAAAAACATCTTAAGAACATAAACTAAAATTCACCAATTTCATTTGCCTGTTACCTACTATTTTTTTAAATTTTATTCAATAAATTATCATGTTATAAGACTTTCAAAATTCTAAATGTTCTTACATGATAATATTTTTTAGCATAGAATAAGTTTGAAATTCATTTTTAACCTGACTAGAATTACTTATATAGTATATATAACTATTATATATACAAGACAAATAAATTCAGTTGATTTATCTGACTATGTTGAGCAGTATATTTGCAAAACTGGTATTTGATCCTCAGATAAATTTTTTTAATTTTTTTCTTATTGTAACTATTATCAAATGTATTTAATGAAATATGTTTGAATGAAAAAGAAAAGTTGCTGTTAAAATATATATCAATATATATATATATATATATATATATATATATATATATATATATATATATAATATATATATATTAATATATAATATATATAATATATATATATTAATATTAATATATATATATATATATATATAATATATAAATATATATATATAATATATATATATTAATATTAATATATATATATATATATATATATATATATATATATATATATATATAATATTATATATATATTATATATATATATTATATATATATATATTAATATATAAATATATATATATACAATGTGCTAACCGTATTTGGAAACTAAAACATCACTACCACACACTGAACATACATAGAACACACACTCTACTAAGCTGATAATTGAACCATCCTTGATAATGGCTAAAATTATAGCCAAAAGCGCTCCGAAACACAGAACATTCGGACAGTTCTTACACACTCTTTGTCCAGAAAAGAAATCTCTTGTCAGAACACAAGAAAAATTAAATAAAAAGCTCAACAGTAGTACCTTGTCGGTCGTTTTTTAATGAAACATGCATATATATATATATATATATATATATATATATATATATATATATATATATATATATATATATATACACACACATGAAAGATTATTACCTATAGAATATTTCAACTTAGAAAAACGTGATTTTAAAAGCCATGTCAAATTTGCTATAATTAAAAAATATAAAAGTACAGAAAAGATCACATTAGAAAAATTTTAGAGGATCATAAAGGCAAATGGATTTTGTGCCTTAAGTCACTCTATCCAGGCAGGCTTAATCACAGATTTAACAATAAATTAATATATAACTCTATAAATCAAGTCCTACCCACATTTCTCACAGACATGCTTGTAGAGATGTTGAGGTCTCACATTTATACGCACACCTATACTAATATATACACTTACATACATCATACACACTCCTAAAGAACTAAATGATAACATACACTTAACACAGAACACATCCCCTTCCCAGGAACTAATAAAGCTGTGAAAATAACCAAGTGAATTCAGAGTAGCATGAATCTATCTTAAAAAACAACTTGACCAATATAAGGACTGACCAAAATTAACAATAAAAAAACAAATGAAAACTACAGATAAAGTTCATTTTCTTCAGAAAGTCATTTATTTCCTGTAGTTCACCACTACTAACAAGCAGGATTTTTTTTCTCCTGATGATGGCCATGCTGACTGAAACTAGTCGAGGAACCTAATTGAAATAATAAAACAAAAAAATATTAATATACAACCCAGTGTGTCTGAAAATTTTAATTTTTTAATTTCTCAATATTTTTTATTGTTCAAAAGATATATATATATATATATATATATATATATATATATATGGAGGACTTCCTAGTTGATTTTTGGTATATGAGGACCCAGCAGTGAGTGTCAGATTTTCCAATGCTTTTTTCTTATTGTGTACACTAGAAATTTTAGTTGTCTCTTTCTGATTCTAAATATATGTTTTGTTTCCATTTTTGTTAAAACTTTCTTGTTACTCACATATTAAGTCTATAGTATTCTCAGCATCCTTTTGTAGAACAACATTTCTGTTGCCTTGAATCTCTTAAACTGTGAGAAAATTGTCCAGGATTTACTGCCATAGACGGAGGCTGATATTACATAAAAGTTCAGCTCTCCTTTCTTTGTTTCTAAGTAAGTTTTCCTGTTCCTTAATGCAATGTTTATCTTTCAAAAGCCATCTTTCACTAATATCTTCACCTATTCTGACTTGAATTTTTGCATCAGCACTGTTTACACCTCATTCTCGGAGAGTACCTCAGTCATTTCTTTACAGACACACATGTTATTTATTAAAGATAAGGAGTTTATCATCTATAAAATATATTACTTCTGTCCAGGAGAGTTATAAGGATGTTTAGTTCCCATTCTATCATGTAACTCCAGTGAGCTATACAAGTTGTTGACAAGATATTCCTACAGATTTTCTGCTTTTTTAATAAGTACAGAATCAAGATCTGTCTATATTTCTGAGATGAGGTATTGTAATTATTTACACTGTTTACTTTGTTTGGAATGTTGTCTTTGTTGCCATATTCACAATGTTTCGGTCGTTGTATGCTCTGGCCTTCTTCATGTAATTGGAATTTTGAACTGAACCCTTTATTTATACACTGATGTCCTCAAGGACACATGGCCCATTGGATAAAAGTGTTGGCTAGATCCAGTGACTTGACACAAAATGTTGTGATTTCAAAACAAAAATTTGGAGCATTGGGTTAAAGGGAGATAACTGAGACATCTGGAAGAGGCATGGTACGTGGAATTAGAACAATCTACCCCAGTGGATGAAATAAAGAGTTCAGTTTGAAATTTCAATCACCTGAAGTAGCGCAGCATGTACAATAGCCAAAACATCATGAATATGGCAACAAAGATGAGAACAGTTCGAACAATGTAAATAGTTTAAATAAGTACAGAATCAGTATTGAAGATAGAAAACTGTAAATCTTGAGTTTCAGTAGAAATCCATCCTATTTCCACCATCTTTCTTTACAGCTGGTGTGACAAGATATACCTCCTCTCCTGCGCAAGATTTATCAGTCATCAACATGACTTGACCAGAAGTAGAATGTTTTTTGAGAGCTTCAGTGAATGAAACCAAAGCCAACATTAACTTAAAAATTTAAAAATAGTCCTTTTTTTCTATGTGTCATGTCCATTCAGGACGTTGACGATCATGGCTCTCCACATTTTCCTGTCCTTTGTAGCTCTTACTAAATTTTATCTTTTTGTTATACCTCCTCAACTTTGTTCAGGCATCCATTTACTGAATCTCACTAGGTAGGTTATGCATTGTTTTCCTCTGTCACTCTTGCCTTCAGTATGCCATTTGAGTATCAAATATTCCAAGCCCTCTTTCCTCATTATGTGTCCTAGAAATTTCAACTTCCTATTGCTGATGTTAATTATAATTGTTCTTTTTTATTTCCATTTTCTCTAAAACTTCATAGTTGCTCGCATGTTCAGACCATGGTATTCTCAGCTTGTTTCTGTAGAACAAAATTTCTGGTCTTTCAAATCACTTCACCATCTCTGAGAAGATTGTCCCACATTCACTGCCATATAGAAGGAGTAATATTATGTAACAATTTATTACTCTTTTCTTTGTTTCTAATGAAATACTTTGCTTAGCTTTTTGATGGTGTATTTCACTATCCCAGTGTGCCTTGATTTGCTGAAAATACCATGGATTGAACATGTAAACAATGAAAAAATTTTAAGGTAAATAGGAACTAAAAGAACATTTATATTCACAACCAGAAAGAGGCAGGTGAAATTTCTTGGACACATAATGTGGAAAAATAGGTTTTAAAATTTAACACTCACAGGACATATTGAAAGCAAGAGAACTAGGGGAAACCAACAAGTAACTAAGCTTAGGAATTTATGTGAAAGGATAGCAGAACAAGATTAAAGAAGTATGGTAAATATTTGTGGCTTAATCCCACATAGCTTTGCCAGTTTTGCCAAAAGGTAGTTAGAGGTCACTATCAAAAACCTATAAAAATGGGACACTTCCTGTGTTTATTCTCTTGTCTCTTGTCTCTTGTCTATTCTCTTGGGGGAAGTGACAATGCCAATATGAACCTCCCTAGGCTTGGGGATAGCTTTTTTTTTAGTGACTGAACTTTTTCACACACATACACACATATTCATCATCTACACAGTTCCTTCTACATACATACAAGTGTATATTCTCTCCTTTGTTACATCGTTATATAAGGACAAAAATAAAAAGTATCACCTTGTCAAAATTCATTCATTTCCTTGTACTCATCATTTACTTGTACAAAATTTTGTTGCCACTGTTTTTAGTCTTACTAAAGGTAGTCCTGTAGCAGAGTTAAAAGTTACTTACAACAAGAAAAGACAAGAAGATGTGGAGAGCCATAATTCAGATTGGGATGTGGCACATAAAAAACGACTTCTAAAACCTACTACAGCCTGCTGGATGTTATTAAGCAAATTATATAAACTTCAATAATTCAAATTTGATTTGAAAAATATTGTCAAATTTAAAACAATCAATTTAGATGTCAAAACAAATCCTGAATTAAAATTTTAGTTAGTATCAATGTTTTATTGAAGTCATTTGATGTATTCTAAAGAAAACTTCCGTCTGAAATTATTAGGCACAACCAAATAATCACATTTTAGTTCATTAGTAAAATGTGATTATTTGGTTTTGCCTAATAACTTCAGATGGCAGTTTTTCAATAAAATCATCAAAAAATGATCAACATCTATAACAGAATAAATAATAAGCACATATGTTAAGTCTCTGAACCCTTTACATTTTAATATAGTGACCTTTCTTCTCAATAACAGCCAGTGATCCATTAATTTTGTTATTTTTTTAACTTCAGCAGGTTCAATTTTTGACATGGCAGTTTTAATTGCTTCCCATAGGTCTGCTTTGCTATATTGTTTGCCACCTTCATATAATTTCATCTTCACAATTGGCCATAGATTTTTTGATCAGATTCTGATCAGGAATTGATGGTGGCCATTCCATTATCTTCTCTTCTGTAAATCTTTTATGCTCAAGGAATTCATGTTTAAGCTTAGATACATAAGAAGGAGCATTGTCATGCATAAATACACACTTCACTTTGAAACTGTGAGACTGGGACTTGTAACAAGCAAAGAAAGCTTTGTTCATTAAATTGCAATAGTTATCACTGTTCAGTTTAAGTCCTTGATCAATTTTGAACAGTCCAAAAATGGTTTGGTTGACAATTTCCAGTCCATAATATAACACTACTGTCTCCTTCTTGCCTTCTTTTAGCCACAGGCACATCTGAATTAGATAAAAATCTCTCCTTTGGCTCACCCATCAGGTCCATCAAATGTTACTTAAGATTTGTCCATGAAAATTACATTAGAAAATTCAATTTTTATGTAGTTCTCGGCCCAATTTTGACACTTTAAAATATTTGAGAGGAGGTTGCCTAAGAGATATTTTTACAGATCCCAATTCACAATGTATTCTACACCTTTTGTCCTTCTAGACACTCTCAATTCTTGCCTTTTCAAAGATCTGAGTAATGGCCAAAAGTGGTTGTTTCGCTATAACTCATTTTGGTTTGTGTTCATCTTGAGGAAGCAAATTCTTAAAACCTTTTCTTTTGTTTTGAGTTCTTAAATTACTTATATTTTCACAGCTATCTTTATCATTCGATAATCTCTGCAAAGCTCCTTTAATATCTCCAATGTTGACATTCCCTCAATCAATAACTTTATTATTTTCTGTTTTTCAGCAGTTGTTAGATCCTTCACTTTACCCATATATCAACCAATGGCCAAAAGAAAAAATAGTTTTTATTAGATTTCAGAGGTCTTAAGCTAATATTAGTTTAATCTGCATACTTCAGTCAGTCCATTTTTGTAAATTCCAAATATCTTAAAAAATAATCATTAAAAATGACACAGAATTTAGTTAGATATTTTATTCGTGGGTGAGTTTAAATTTGACAAATATGGGTTTTTGAGTTATTGAGGTTTATTTGATTTGTGTAATAACTTCAGACAGTCTGTATTTGCATTTAATACTACGGTATATAGGAAATAGCTTGGATAGAAGTATTGAAAGTCTGTAGCTAAATACTAGACTACTAGATAGATTGACATATTGAAGTATTGAAAGTCTGTAGCTAAATACTAGCCTACTAGATAAATTGACGTATTGAAGTATTGAACGTCTGTAGCTAAATACTAGATAAATTGACGTATTGAAGTATTGAAAGTCTGCAGCTAAATACTAGCCTACTAGACAGATTGACGTATTGAAGTATTGAAGGTCTGTAGCTAAATACTAGCCTACTAGATAAATTGACGTATTGAAGTATTGAAAGTCTGTAGCTAAATACTAGCCTACTAGACAGATTGACGTATTGAAGTATTGAAAGTCTGTAGCTAAATACTAGCCTACTAGATAAATTGACGTATTGAAGTATTGAAAGTCTGTAGCTAAATACTAGCCTACTAGATAGATTGACATATTGAAGTATTGAAAATCTGTAGCTAAATACTAGCCTACTAGATAGCTTGACTTGTTGTTTAGTGAGTTTTTTCATAGACAATATGAATATACCTTAAAAATAATTGACAGGTCTCTTGCTTTTTCACCTGTGCAAGTTAAACAATTATTTTGTTATTCTTTCATTGGGTAGGTTCTAAATCTCTCCTTGAAGCAAATATCTACGATTTTGAATTATCTCTTTGATCTTTCAATTTCTTTTTTTACTGTGAATGTCTTTTTTGACAGGTGTGCTAGACCCCATCTTTGTGTGTGAATCTCTCAGCATATAGACTTATTTGAATTTTCATAACCTTTTGTTCTCCTATCAAGTTTCAACTCATTTTTCTACCTGACCAATCAGATTTTAGAGTCATTTGAAATATGACCAGAATAAACTAAACACACCAATTGAATAAAAAACTGTGTCCACAGCTGCTGCCAGAAGACAATAATTGGCAAAATAGATTTAAAAAAAGTTTCAAATGTAAGCTTGCTGCTTTATATTTTTTGTATAGCTCTTTAACTGTAATAAGAAGACATTTGGAATGTACTGATACTCTTTAGCATTGGATATTTTACATTTACTAATGTGAAAAATTAACATATTGCAAATAGCGACTACCTTGTACCTATGATTCAGGTATTTTTCTCCTTCAGATCTACAAATCAGCAATTCTCCCTTGCATTGAGTATTGCTGCCATATATGGTCTGGAGCCCCTTCTGTTTGCCTTGGGGTTATTGATAAGATACAGAGACGAATATGCAATATAA